CCAAACATTTCTCTGGAGAATTTAATATGAAAACCAAACTTAACGCTGCAATTACTTCATATTAAGCGGTTGGTCAATATAGGCGGAGTCACCATAATAAACGAATTCCATTATAATCTGAACTCTTGATGCCACGTTATGATTTCAACAAGATAGGGCTGCGTGCCATACTTGTTAAAAAATCTAGAACTCTGAAGTGAAAACGGCAATCACTCGCGATTCCGGAAGCAATGGTTAATGTGACGTTGTTTATAGATCATGAATTTAATTTTTAACTTTTTTTTTGTAATCAAATGAGATTATGAGCCAAACACGTTTAAAAAATCAAAATCAAAAATTCTTAAAAAATGGTGGCAATCCCAACTCTTTGAGTCACCCTGTATAAAAACGTGATCGTTGCATAGTTGCATGTATCTAATAATCTTTTCCTAGTTGATAATTTTGTAATGGGGACTTCAAAGTACATCGTAACCGTTCTCTATAATGAACATGTACAGACGCCGTAATAATTTTTCAATATCGCCAAGAGCTTTTACCTCTAAGTCTACCTATGCATCACGTAAGTATAATGTTGCCGAGCTAAATGTTCTACCATTGTTCAAAAAAGCAATAGAGACGAAGCAACTAACGGTAAACGTAAGAGGCAACAGTCATGACAATAAAATTATAAGGTAATCGAACGTAGTTTACGGCCCTCAAAGGCACTAACGGAACACATGTAAGTGCAAACATAAAACCAAGGGAAGTTTTTGTTTTGTTTTCTGTGGCGCATTGTTACAAATTACATCCTGGTACCATTTTATTATAACGAACGGTCAACGAGAACGATCGGACTCAATCAAAAATCGAACACATGGACATATGTATACATGCAGGTAACTGTAGTTAAATCATATTCTTAAACACACCCAAATAATATGAACATTTTAACCCGCTGCAAGTATTTAGTCTAAGAATAGACGATTTTTAATTAAAGCCAATCATTAATTTAACAAGAAAGCATTCAGTCGCAAAATTGTATTGTTTTGTAGTTTGTTTGGGTCACTTTGTTATAGAAGGTTTTGAGGAGGACTTGGAAAACGAGTAATTAAAACTAGATAACAACAACATATATTTACAACTTAACAACAACTGGCGTAACGAAAAGAGAAGAGAAGAGACTTGTTCTGCTGAAGGCGTAAGACGAACTGATTTTGTATTTATGGAAAATGAAAAACTGTTCTACAAGAAAGGAATAGAGATGGTAGTAGATACGAGTAGGGAAGTATTGAAATGTGGAAACTTTAAGATTAGAGATACCAAGAAATTGATGGCAGTGTCAACCACCGAAGAAACCGATCTTAATATTGCAATTAGGAAAAAATGAAAGGTACAGACGTCATGCGGTTAGTACACGAAAGATGAAATGTTACAAGGATTATAGGAAAGTACAGTAATACAGTTATTTAAATAGATAAGCAAGATACAATAGATTATTTACAAAAGGAAGGAATTTTTATAGACACTAATCGAAAATAGAAAAGAAATATTTTAGAAAGGTATTTACAATATATAAACAAAATGAAACAATTTTCACACATGTGGTGGATATCGCCACA